CCCGCCGCCCCAGGGACAAGGCTGGCGGCTACGGGATCCAGGCGCTGGGCGGGATGCTGGTGGAGGGCGTGCACGGGGACGTCCTCAATGTCGTGGGCTTCCCCCTGAACCACTTCTGCAAGGAGCTGGCTCGGCTGTACCGCCCGCCCCGCCCCGCGGACCTGCGGCGGGACACGCACGACTCCGTCCCCACCGTCCGCACCTTCGGGAACCTGAGCGACTCAGAAGCAGGTGGCTCGGACCCAGGTCAGAGCGCCAGGGGCGGCCATGCTGGCGAGCAGGCGGACGGAGACCGGGCACAGGCTCCGGGCGCGCTGGATGCAGGCCTTAACGCGGCGGACAGCCGGCCCCCGCTCCCCACGGGCCTCCTGGAGCTGATGGACGGCTTCAAAGCATCCAAGGTACTTGTGTGATTCATGACCACATGACCCCGACACAGGGGAGCCCAGAACCGCAGGCATCCATCCTCCCCCATCCCGGGGACCACAGCTCAAGGTGTCCCAGGGCTGCGCCCCCTCCGGAGGCTCCAGGGGAGGGTCCTTCCCGCCTCTTCCAGCTTCTGGGGGCTCCAGGCGTCCCTGAGCTTGTGGCCGCGTCCCTCCCGTCTCTGCCTCTGTCTTCCCGGGGCTTCTCCTCTGTGTCTGTGTCTCTCCTCTTCCGTGTCTTAGAAGGACGCTGTCATTGGATGTAGGGCCACCCTCATCCAGGAGGACCTCATCTCAGACCCTTCACTGTATCACATCTGCAGAGACCCTGTTTCCACATAAGGCCTCATTCCCATATTTTGGGGGTCAGGGCATGCACATATCCTTTTGAGGCCACCTTGAGCCCATAACTGTGGTCTGTGCCTGGAGGGGGCAGGGCGGGGTCTGTGCGGGTGTTTGAAGGTAAGCAGGCCTCACGTGACCCCAACGAGGGGCCCACATTAAGTCCCCGGCCCAGGGAGGTGGGGCTGGAATGCCGGCCGTGCGGCCGCCTCTGGGACCCTGCAGCCCTGCTGGCCGGGCAGCAGGTGGATTGTGGCCACCAGGACACCAGCTGCCTGCAGGGCAGACCAGGTCAGTGCGTGTGTCCTCGTCGTCTTGTGGCCTCGGGATCTCGGGCAGCCGTCCCAGCCAGAGGGTGTCCTGGGCAGGGGAGGGGACAGTGCTGGGTCAGCTCGGTGCTTCCTGGAACCAGCAGGTACCTTTGACCACAGGTTGCCCTGTGCCCATGTGCAAGGCAGCTGTGTGCAGGTGTTTCAGGGAAGCCCCAGGCCCGGGGCCCGATGGGAAGTGGGTTGGGCAGCGGCCCATCCAGCTGGCCTCCACCATCTCTCTGGCTCTTGCGGACGCACTTGTGCACCCGCCCAGCTGTGACACGTGGCCCGGCCCTCCCCCTTCCCCACCAGACCCTCTCCTGTAGCTCTGGGCTCCTCTCCAGGGGGTTGGAGCAGGGGGCGGCCTTGCTCGCGCTGGGGCCTTGCAGGGGTAGCCTCAGTGGCTCGTGGAGAGACAGGACACTGGCTGGGGAAGGACTGGGGATCCTGACCTTACCCCCCTCCACCCCGGCCACCTTCCTGCCACCTCCTCAGGAGAGGGGACCTGTGTGCCTAGGACAGAAGGTGGTTATGCTGCGTTGTAGGTCAGATTCTCTGATCCACCTGGAGATGCTGGTGCAGACAGCGCTGCTGCAGCCCGTCAGGCTGGCATTTGGTGGAGTTGTGCTGTGCTTCCCTGGTCTATCGCTCTAGCATCTATCCATCCATCCATCTGTCCATTTCATTTGTCTGTCATCTATATCATCAATCTATATATACTGTCATTATTGTCTGTCTGTGTACCTACCATCTGTCCATCCATCCACTGATCTAGGTATAATCTATATCCGTCGTCTATGTATGTCTATTGTTCACCTATATCTATTGTTACTATCATCTGTCCATCCATTCATACATCCGTCTCCCTACCTATCATTTATCTATCCACCAATCTTTCAGTCATCTATCCAGCTATATATCATGTGTCTATATATCTATCATCTATCTATACATATCATTTTATATATATATATCATTATCTATCTTCTCTGTATCCACCATTAATCTAGCTATCATTTACCTATCTGTATCTATCTGTTATCTATATTTATCTTTCTCCTTCATCAATGTATGCATACCTATGGTTATCTATTATATAACTATCATTTGTCTATCCATCCCTCTACTTATCTGTGTATAATTTATATTTATTGTCTCTGTATCTGTTTTTATCATCTGTCTTCTCTCCATTGTTCATCCATCCATTTTCCTATCATTTGTCTGTCTCTATCTCTGTTTATCTATTTATCTATCATCTGTCTATCCACCTGCTTATCTGTCACGTCTATCTGTATCTATCGTCTGTGTCTATTATTATTCCTATCTATGTATCCACCCATTTATTTATCATCTCTATCTATCTGTATATATCATCTACCTGTCTATTATTATCACTTGCCTACCTGTCTATCCCTCCGTCCACCCATTTACCTATCAATCACCTGTCTGTATCTGTCACCTATCTACATACCTCCCCATCTGTCTATCCACCCTCGTGTGACACGGGTCTCCTTACAAAGCTCTCCCAATGGCTGACCATGCCGACCAAGCAGGGGTCTGTCGGGGGTCTTGGAACAAGTGTCACCCACCCCCCGCCCAAGGTCAGTCATGGTAGTTCTGGACGCAGCTCAGGTAGGGCCCTTTCCCGAAGTGCCCCTTTACTCGCCCCTGGAGGTGTCTGCGTTACGACGAGGTGAGAGCTCCAGGGAGGTTTACGGTGTCACTTGTGGGTGTGTCCTGAGCAGCGTGGAGCGTCCGTGTCCTGCGCAGAGGCCCCGTCTCCACATGGTCTCATCCTGAGGTCCTGGGACTTGGGGCGTCGACGTAGGAACCTTGGGGGGACACCACACAGCCCCTGACAGCAGAGCTTTGGTCTTTCTCCGCTGGGACAGTTTCTCTGCTTGGTGTTCATCGACTTGGTCTTACCTGGAGCAAACCTTGTCCAACCTGGAGCCTAAACCCACTCTCTGCAGAAGTTTCCCTTGATGAGCTTGATGTTTTTGGCCACCCTGCCCTCCCTCTGGAGTCCCTGGGGATAAAGAGCAATTGATAAGTTGCGTCGTGCGTCTCCCTGTAACTGTGCTGCACCGACAGGTCCTGTTCACGGCTTGCAAGCTCAGACTATTTGATGTGCTAAACGACCAAGGGCCCCTGCAGGCTGTGGATGTTGCCCGCAAACTCAGCGCCTGCGCGGGCAGGACTGAGCAGCTGCTGGATGTGTGCACGGCCCTGGGTTTACTGCAGAAGACGTGCAGAGGTGAGGGGCTTCCTGGGTGTCTTTCCAGCAGCTGTGCCTGCGAGACCAAGTCACCAGGTGACAGTGGCTTCTGAGCCGAGGCAGGGAGGACAGAACATGCATCATCTCTCTGCCCCAAGAATGCCCCAGAGGGTCAGGAGCAGAGGATGGATGGAAGGAGGAAACGCGCGCGCGCGCGCGCGCGTGTGTGTGCGCGTGTGCATGCGTGTGCCTGTGTGTGCTCGCGTGTGCGTGTGGTGTGTGTGTGTGTGCGTGTGTGTGCGCGTGTGCGTGTGTGTGTGTGCGTGTGCGTGTGTGGTGTGTTAGGAGGCAGACTTCTTTATGGGCTCAGAGGGCCTGTATCAGCCAGGGTTCTCGAGAGAAACAGCCCATAGGCTTTGTATGTGTGCACAGCATAGGTACCAGTTTACTCTTACTTATTTGTTTAGATAGGCAGACAGATGAGGTGGATGGATGGATAGATATCGATTGGTAATAGAGATGATAGATAGGTACCTGGATGGATAGATAGAAGATAGATAAACAGATGATACGTGGATGGGTGAATGGACAAATAGGTAATAGATGGGTGGGTGGATAAATGATGGGTAGATAGATTGTTTGGTTGCTAGGTGGATGCATAGATATGTAGATAAGCAGATAGATGGATGAAGAGAGAGGATAGAAAGATAGCTAGGTTGATAGGTGATACATAAATAGAGGACAGGTGGATGGATAAATAAATGGATGGATGGATAGGTAATAGGATAAGTAGATGGATAGATGATAGATAAATAGATGGATGGATGGGTGGGTGGATAAATAGGTAGTAGATAGATTGATAGATCAATAGATATAAATTGATAATAGAGATGATAGATAATAGATGGGTGGATAGATAGACAAATGATAAATAGATGGGTGGATGGATAAATAATAGATGAATAGACAGATGATAAAAAGATAATAGATATAGATACATACATAGATACATACACAAATGCTAGATGATAAGTAAATAAATAGATACATAGATGGATACATGATGTTGAAGATAGATGGTTAATAGTTGAGAGAGATACATGTAGATGACTGATAGGTCATAGATGCATAGGTAGGCAGATAGTTTGATTGATAGGTGGATACTTAGGTATGTAAATAGATAAGTAGATGGATGAACAGGTAGATGATAGAAAGATAGATAATAGAATAGATATGATGGATTAGATAGATAATAGAATAGATATGATGAATGCATAGATCAATGATAGTTAGATGATAGATGATAGAAAGATAGATAGATAGATGATAGAAAATACATGATAGATGGAGGGATGGATGAATAGATAATAGATGGGTGGATGGATAAATGACAGGTGAATAGAGAGATGATAAAAAGATAAATGATCAGTATATAGATACATGTATACATGCACAGGTGATAGATGATAAATGAATAGGTGGATGGTAGATGGATGAATAGGTGATGATGAAGTTAGATGATTACTAGATGAGGGAGATGCATGTAGATGACTGATAGGTCATAGATGGGTAGGTAGATACATAGGTAGACAGACAGAACAAAGTAGACGGCATACGTGGGAAATGGACGGGTGAAGGGTGACAGTGTGGGTTTGCTGGGTGCACAGAGCTCTCGAGGGTGTTCTCAGAGCAGAGGGTGCTACGGATGGTCCTTGAGCAGATGGAGAGAGGCAGGGGCTCAGAAGACCCCGGGGCAGGAGACACAGCATCCCTTCTGTGGTGAGCAGGGAATCAGGGTGCTGGCGGAAGCCCCCCAGAGCCGCCCCTCATGTGAGGGGCGGACAAGTACCCGCTAAAGATTTGGGTCGCGGGGTGCAGAACTCCCGCCAGCCAGAGCGTCTTGGTAACATTCTCCTCCATTTAAAATAAAATATATTTATTTATTATGTTTGGCCGCGTTGGGGCTTCGTTGCTGCGCGCGGGCTCTCTCTAGTTGAGGCGAGCGGGGGGCTGCTCTTCGTTGCGGCGCGCGGGCTTCCCATCGCGGTGGCTTCTCTTGTTGCGGAGCATGGACTCAAGGCGCACGGGCTTCAGTAGTTGTGGTGCACGGACTCTAGAGCGCAGGCTCAGTAGTTGTGGCGCACGGGCTTAGTTGCTTCGTGGCATGTGGGATCTTCCCGGACCAGGGCTCGAACCTGCGTCCCCTGTGTTGGCCGGCAGATCCTCAACCACTAGGCCACCAGGGAAGCCCCTCTCCTCAACTGAAAATAATGACCAAACGTGGAGAAAGGGTCCGAGGTCCGGACTTCCAATCCCTGCTACCTGGCAGACGCCCTGCATGGTCCTCAGCTGAGCCCTGGAAGCCGCTCCTGTGCCTCTGCACGGGGCCTGGGGTGGGGCAGGCGGGCTGGGTGCTGCCCTTCGGAGGACCCCAGGCCTCAGAACTCAGAGCTTTCGGTCATCAGGGAACAGTGCTCAGCATCTGTGACAACCTAAATGGGAAAAGAATTGGAAAAAGCAAGATACGTGTCTACGTGCAACTGAATCACTCTGAATGCACCTCAAACCAACACAACATCGCTCACCAACTATACTCCAATATAAAATAAAAAGTTTTTTAAAAATACATATTTATATAGTTAAAGATAATAGTCTTTAAAAAACCGTGTGAGGACTTCCCTGGCGGTTCAGTGGTTAAGGCTCCACGCTTCCACTGCAGGGGCCCTGGGTTCCACCGCTAAGATCCCGCGTGCCGTGCGGTGCCGCCACAAAAAGGAAAAAAAGAAAATTAAGCAACAGTAAAAATTCAGTTTCTAAAACAAAAAAACAAAACAAAGACAACATGTAAAGTGCCAAATGGGGCTTCCCTGGTGGTGCAGTGGTTAAGAATCCGTCTGCCGTTGCAGGGGACACGGGTTCGAGCCCTGGTCCGGGAAGATCCCACAAGCCATGGAGCAACTAAGCCCATGCGCCACAACTACTGAGCCTGCGCTCTAGAGCCCGCGAGCTACAACTACTGAGCCCGTGAGCCACAACTACTGAAGCCCGTGCGCCTAGAGCCCGCGCTCCGCAACAAGAGAAGCCACTGCGATGAGAAGCCCACGCACCACAAGGAAGAGCAGCCCCCGCTCGCCGCAACTAGAGAAAGCCCGCGCGCAGCAATGAAGACCCAACGCAGCCAAACATAAATATAATTAATTAATTAATTAAAAAAGAAAGTGCCGAATGGACAGTTAGTTTCAATAAACTTTTTAAAAGTTCAGTAAAGGAAAACCGTAGACACCATGCTGTTCTGTCCGTCCGACGACAGACGGTGTTACGTGGGGCTGTGGTGTTATGTGGGGCTGTGGAGGTACAGGGGCTCTCAGCCACCGTCCCCTCTGCCTGCAGCCTCCAATTCTGCAGGTAGGGGTGTCCCAGAAGGGCCCTTGGGGGCCGGGCCGGATGGGCAGCTCGCCAGGAAGTGGGAAGAGAGCAGGCCGCCCCGGGCCCCTCAGGGCTCCGGAGAGGCAGACCCTGCGGGATATGGACAGACGGGTCCGTGCCTTTGGGCCCTGGCGTGTCTGAACCCCTGCGGCTGGCCGCTCGGTGCTTCTCTGCTCTCAAGGCCGTCAGCTGATGGGATGAGACCCACCCACGTTACCTAGGGTCACCTCCTTTACCCGAAGTCCGCTGACTTGCAGGTGTGAAGCACATGACCAAACCGCACCCTCTCCCCGACGGGGACGTCTCACTGGGGACCGTAGCCTGGCCAAGTGACCATCCCAGGGGCTTGGAGGGTCACCTCGAGGAAGAGCAACACCCTTGCGTCGTTCTCTGGGCCGCCTCTGGGCATCCGTGCACTTGGCACTTAGTCAGATAGACATCCTGATGACGCTGGGCGGTGGCTCGCCCCGCGGTCAGCTGAGCCATCACACGACGCCCCGTCCTTTCAGGTTACCGCAACACAGAGGTGGCGACCCTGCACCTAGTGTCAGACGGCGAACACTCTCTCCAGGGCCTGGCCGAGTACAATGACGCCCACGTCTGGGGCGTCTTCACACGCCTGGGCCTGGCCGTGCGGGAGGGGCCAGACCAGACCCGCGGGGCTCTGGGGGCGATGGAGGAGGAACGCCTATCCCAGGTACTGTAACCCCCGTGTTCCTTTTCACGCCCCGTCTGTGCTGTGAAAGGACCAGTGGGCACGGAAACATCTCAGATTCTGGGCGACGTGGGAATCCCTGCGGGAGGCCGCTGTGGCGGGGAGGGTGCGGCTGGCTGGCTGGTCACAGCTCCTGAAAAGAGGGCTTTTCTAGGAAGGGGCTGCCTTGAATCAAGGCACCGTGTTTCCTACGTGGAGTTGCATTGCACAGACTCCTGGTTCCTAGCTCATCGCAGAGTGTGCAAAGGGCTTCCCGGCCCTTCCCCCGCCCCCTGGCACCCACGACCCCTGTTCACTGTTGTGTGGGAGGGAAGGAGTCTCAGAGGGTCTTGGCTGACCTTGGAGGGTCTCGGAGGGTCCTGGGTGGTCTCAGAGGGTCTCGGAAGGTCTTGGGTGATATCTGAGGGTCTTGGGTGGCCTTGGAGGGTCTCGGGGGGTCTCGGAGGGTCTTGGAGGGTCTCGGAGGGTCTTGGAAGATCTTGGGTGGTCTTGGAGGGCCTCGAGCGGTCGTAGAGGACAGAGTCCTGGGAGATGCCGAGGTCCCCAGGCCCCAAATCTGGGTGAAATGGCAGCAGCACCACCGTGGCCTCAGGCAACGAGTCCGGCCCCCTCGGGCCCTGGTCTGCACCCCCCGCCCCTTGGGATTTCGGCTGACTCCCTGCCCACCCTCAGGAGCCCTAAGAGTGTCAGGCCCAGGCGGGTCCCCTGCACGCTGTCCTGCCGGCCTCCTTCTCGGCCCCAGGGATTCATTCCCTCCCACCCGGGTGGGGCCCGAGCACACAGGGACCCCACGGGGGAGCTGGGCAGGGAGCCCTGGTCTCTGTAAACGATCAGATCAGATCATCCTCAGTGAGGTGACAGCTGAGGGGGCAGGGGGTTGTTACCCCCTAAGTTCTCCTGGTTTGGTCCAGTGAGACCCGAGTGGGGAGTCGGCAGTCTCCCGGGAGGAGACCCCCTGCGAGCTGGAAATCAGACCCAGAGACTGCGCTGTGTCAGCGTGCAGTGGAGCTGCCCTCCTGGCAACGCTCCAGCCTCACCGCGAAGGTGGACACAGTTCAGACCCAGTGCCCCCTCCCACCCTCCTCTACCCAGGCCCCTCCCACCCTGCTCTACCCCGGACCCCTCCCGCCCTCCTCTACCCAGGCCCCTCCCACCCTCCTCTACCCAGGCCCCTCCCACCCTCCTCTACCCAGGCCCCTCCCACCCTCCTCTACCCAGGCCCCTCCCACCCTCCTCTACCCAGGCCCCTCCCACCCTCCTCTACCCAGGCCCCTCCCACCCTCCTCTACCCAGGCCCCTCCCACCCTCCTCTACCCAGGCCCCTCCCACCCTCCTCTACCCAGGCCCCTCCCACCCTCCTCTACCCAGGCCCCTCCCACCCTCCTCTACCCAGGCCCCTCCCACCCTCCTCTACCCAGGCCCCTCCCACCCTCCTCTACCCAGGCCCCTCCCACCCTCCTCTACCCAGGCCCCTCCCACCCTCCTCTACCCAGGCCCCTCCCACCCTCCTCTACCCAGGCCCCTCCCACCCTCCTCTACCCAGGCCCCTCCCACCCTCCTCTACCCAGGCCCCTCCCACCCTCCTCTACCCAGGCCCCTCCCACCCTCCTCTACCCAGGCCCCTCCCACCCTCCTCTACCCAGGCCCCTCCCACCCTCCTCTACCCAGGCCCCTCCCACCCTCCTCTACCCAGGCCCCTCCCACCCTCCTCTACCCAGGCCCCTCCCACCCTCCTCTACCCAGGCCCCTCCCACCCTCCTCTACCCAGGCCCCTCCCACCCTCCTCTACCCAGGCCCCTCCCACCCTCCTCTACCCAGGCCCCTCCCACCCTCCTCTACCCAGGCCCCTCCCACCCTCCTCTACCCAGGCCCCTCCCACCCTCCTCTACCCAGGCCCCTCCCACCCTCCTCTACCCAGGCCCCTCCCACCCTCCTCTACCCAGGCCCCTCCCACCCTCCTCTACCCAGGCCCCTCCCACCCTCCTCTACCCAGGCCCCTCCCACCCTCCTCTACCCAGGCCCCTCCCACCCTCCTCTACCCAGGCCCCTCCCACCCTCCTCTACCCAGGCCCCTCCCACCCTCCTCTACCCAGGCCCCTCCCACCCTCCTCTACCCAGGCCCCTCCCACCCTCCTCTACCCAGGCCCCTCCCACCCTCCTCTACCCAGGCCCCTCCCACCCTCCTCTACCCAGGCCCCTCCCACCCTCCTCTACCCAGGCCCCTCCCACCCTCCTCTACCCAGGCCCCTCCCACCCTCCTCTACCCAGGCCCCTCCCACCCTCCTCTACCCAGGCCCCTCCCACCCTGCTCTACCCCGGACCCCTCCCGCCCTCCTCTACCCAGGCCCCTCCCACCCTGCTCTACCCCGGACCCCTCCCACCCTCCTCTACCCAGGCCCCTCCCACCCTGCTCTACCCTGGACCTATCCCCGCCCTCCTCTACCCCGGACCTGATCCCTGCTGAGCTCCCCACCCACACAAATGCCAGGTGGAACCTCATCCCGGGTGCAGGACGGCCTGGGCTCCGGGTGGGTCTCCTCAGACCCTGCTTCCACCACCAGAGCAGGGAGATGACGCTGCAGTTCATGAGGGCCAAGCACAGCCTCAGCAAGCTGACCGCCCACCACGTGGCCACGGCTTTCGACCTGTCCCGATTCACCTCTGCTTGCGACCTGGGAGGTACATTCACCCCCTCTGGGAGTCAGGTGCAAAGGGCTACATGCTTTTCTTCTCTTGTATTAAATCTAGGGCACCTTACCTGCTAATAAGACTTGCAGAATGGGTTTATCTCTACAAACCATCTGAGGACCTAAATATATCCAGGGTGGGTGCGGGGGCTTGGGCTGATATTCCCAAGTGCTAGGAGGTCCCAGGGATGGCCCAGGACCCCCGTAGAGGTTATGGGACCCTTCCTGGTGGCTGCCAAGTAGGGGAGGGGCTGTGGAGCCCGTCTGCTGCCATTGCATCAGGTCTAATTATGCCACACACACCCTCCACCCCATCCCAACCAATCCTTTCCCCAGGACAGTGGACGGAGGAGGAGTGGTTGCCCTGCCCAAGGGGTGTAGTGGGATTGGTGTCCAGGAGGGCTCCTGAGCTGCCAGCTTGCGTTTCCCCACCCTCTGCACACCTGTCCTCCTGGTGGCCCAGAGTGGCTGCTGTGGCACCAGCCATTGTGTCTGCATTCCCGCAGCAGAAAGGGGCAGGGAAGAGTACAACTCCCTAGAGCTTTGCTGCCAGGATTCCCCACGAGTCTGTGCCCACCCCACTCACCTGCTCTGGGCCAGCACCCGCCCACGAGGCCCTGACTTTGAGACACCAGTGATCTCCCCACTGGCTGACCTCATTTCAGGGCACAAGCTTCAGGCCGCATCTGAGAGCATCGTTTTGGTTTTGCCAGAGCTGAACTCTGGAGACACTCCAAGGGTTTCATACATGCCAGGAGGGTCCAGAGTCTGCCTTTGCTTCTTGCAGGCTGCACGGGCATCCTGGCCCGCGAGCTCGCCCAGGAGTACCCGCATCTGCAGGTGACTGTGTTTGACCTCCCAGAGGTCATTGAGCTCTCTGGGGGCTTTCAGCGTGGCGGACGACAGACAGAGCGGATCTGCTTTGTGCCAGGTTAGTGTGGCTTCATGTCCGCCGGGTGTCAGCATTTGGGTGACCTTATTTATCTCGTATACAGAGCGGGTGTGTGTGTGTGTGTGTGTCTCTATGTGTCGGTATATGTGAGTGTGTCTGTGTCTGTGTGTGTATCCATCTTTCTCTGTGTTTCTGTCTGTATGTCTGAGTGTGTATGTTTCTGTTTGTGTTTCTGTGTCTGTGGGTATGTATCTGGGTCTGTGTGTATGTGTGTATATATGCACATTTCTGTGTGTTTCTGTGTCTGTGTGTGCATATATACTGGTGTATCTGTGTGTCTGTGTGTCTCTATACATGTATGTATGTCTGTCGATGTGTCTCTATATGCGTATGTGTCTGTGTGTGTGCGTGTATTTTGGTGCGTGTGTGCACATCTGCATACAGGGGCGCATCTGTAAACCCCGAGAACAGGAGTTTGAAGTTCTCAGCGAGGGGAGTAGCCGGGCGGGAGGGCAGGTGGGGATGGGCACGGGCCAAGATCGGCGTCTGCAGATGTCGACCAGCGACCCAGGCCTCACACGGAAGTGACACGGGGGCTACAGCAGGAGGGCCTTGGGGTGGATGTGAGGAAGGACTTCCTGGCGGGACCGGATTGAAAGGAAACTCTTGGCATCTGGTGACTCATCCACACTGTGGCCCGGCCTGAGGGTGGATGTGCTAGACGGACCTGTGCCCCACGACCGACCGCCTGATAGGTGGATGGATGCATAGATGATAAATAATAGATGATAGATATATAGATAAATGACAGATGAGTAATATAAAGACAGGTAGATAAAAGATAGATAGATATGATAGATGGATAGATAGCTACATTGATAGTTACATAGATGATAGGTGAATAAATGGATGAATGGATGGATAGATAGCTAGATGGTAGATATAATGCACGGACAGACAGATAGATGATAGATGGATGGATAGATAGACATGGATGGACAGATAGATACACTGGTAGATGAATAAGTAAGTGGATGGATGGATAGATGATAGATAAACAATACACAGGTAGATAGATGATGGACGGACAGATAGACAAATGATACATAGATAGATAGATGGTAGATAGATGGATACTTTCCTACTTAAAAAAAAGAGCCAGTTACCCTGCTGTGGACTGAATTGTGTCCCCAGGTGCCTATGAAGCCCCACCCCCAATGTGACTCTTATCTGATAGACAAATGACATAGATAGATAGATGGTAGATAGATGGATACTTTCCTACTTAAAAAAAAGAGCCAGTTACCCTGCTGTGGACTGAATTGTGTCCCCAGGTGCCTATGAAGCCCCACCCCCAATGTGACTCTTATCTGAAGGTAATTAAGGTGAAGGAGGTCACAAGGGTGGAGTCCTAATCCAGCAAGACTGCATCCTTAGAAAGGACACCAGGAACATCTATCTATGTATGTACCGTTTATCTACCATCTATCCATCCATCATCTATCTATGTGTGTATGGTTTATCTATCTCTTTATCGTCTATCCATCCATCCACTTATTTGTCTATCAGTGTATCTATCCATATGTATCCATCTATCTATCATCTATCTATCTATGTATCATTTGTCTATCTGTCCGTCCATCATCTATCTACCTGTGTATTGTTTATCTATCATCTATCCATCCATCCACTTACTTATTCATCTACCAGTGTATCTATCTGTCCATCCATGTCTATCTATCCATCCATCATCTATCTGTCTGTCCGTGCATTATATCTACCATCTAGCTATCTATCCAGCCATTCATCCATTTATTCATCTATCATCTATGTAACTATCAATGTAGCTATCTATCCATCTATCATATCTATCTTTTATCTACCTATCTTTATATCACTCATCTGTCATTTATCTATATATCTATCATCTATTATTTATCATCTATGCATCCATCCACCTATCATTTATGTCCTATCCTATTTATCTAATATCTGTTATCTGTCTATATCATGTATGTATCCATCCATCATATCTATTATCTATCATCTATCACATGTCTATATCTCTCCATCCATCCTATCTATTATCAATCTATGTATCATCTATGTATCTATCATTTATCTATTATCTATATCTATCTATTCAATATTAATCTATCAATCATTTGTCTACCTCTCTGTCTTTATATCAATCATATCTACCTGTCATATTTACCTGTCTCTCTATTATTTATCAACTATCTCTCCATCCATCCATTCACCTATCATTTATCTGTTCTTTCTATGTATGTATGTATGTATGTATGTATGTATGTATGTATGTATCATCTATCTCTCCCCACTGTGAGGACACAGCGAGTAGGCCACTACCTACAAGCCAAGCAGAGGGTCCTCAGCAGG